TGGTGGTGGTCTTTCACTAGTAGAGATCCAAACTACTGCTTCCCGAGCCGCCATCGAGGTTGCTGGTAAAGCCTGACTCTCTCAGCTCTTCGCCGCCAGCGTCGTCATCGTCGTCGCCGTCCTCAAGGTCGAGGTCCTCGGGAGGAGAAGATGATGGTGGTGATGGTGGTGGAGGATGAAACTGAGACTTTTTGCCGTTTTTAAAGTTTGTCTGCTTTTGTTTGCTATTGTTTGACGGCTGGAAGCTTTTTGGACGGTTGCTACTTTTGTTGTTGTTTGGCAAAGCTGAAGACTTGAAAGAGCTTTTTTGCTGTTTTTGCTGCTGTTGCAGTTGATATTGCCGATTCTTTACCAGTGGATACGTTTTGTCTGCAAAAAAATAAAAAAGTTTGTTATAAGTTTTTTCATCTCATTTCTTANACCTTCTCGTAGTGGCCCGCTGCCGTACACTGGGGCATGTAGGCGCCCAAAAGTGGGCGTGCTGTGGCGGTGGTGGCCAACTCCTTCTGCAGGTGTTTCAAGTGGTAGAGACAGGGTTTGGCTACCAAGAAAGAAAAAAGAGGAGTTTAGTTTGGGAGTTTATTCGAAACCCTTTTCCTCAATTTTACCTTTCAAGCTGAAGCAGTCACACCACTCGCCGGCCCCGAGGTAGGCGTCCCCGTCCTGGTCGCAACCATTCAGATAGGGCTCCAGACAGTGCTCATTCTCGTCGTGCTCCAGGTAGTAGAGCTCCTTCAGCGAGAGACGCCCATCGGCGTCGGCGTCAAAGTGGCCGAACATGAAGCCCACCGGCGGCTCGCAGCTATGTTCAGCGGTTGAAGAGGAGGAAGATTTTTTAAAGAAGTTTGAAGTTGTGTTGTTGGATTTAGGTGAGAGGTTTGGAGATCGTCGATTTTTGTTGCTGCTGTTGTTGTTGTTGGCTGAAGATTTGCTGCCATTGCCATGCTTCAGCTCCTCCTTCATCACCACGGCAAACCAGTCGAGCAGTCGGAGGCCCATTGAGCGAAGCTGAAAATAGAGGAGATTTAATAAAAGTTTAAAATTGAAAAAAAGCTGTTGAACTTTACCTGCTCCATTGAACACTCCTTAGTG